CAGGTTTTCAGCAGTACGAGTTGGATCAGTCTCAGGTAAGAACAAAAAAAAGGCGTATTGATGCCCTTTCTTGTTCTGCTAACGAAGCATTTATTATAAAATATTAAATTTTTTATCATCTTGCTTTAAGTTAAATTGATAAAAGCTTAATCAGCATTTTTTCCTTTCTGAAACTTCATATCGTGGGGAGGAGATTGCTATCAGGCATAAAACGTTACGTCTAAAGTCTTCTCCTGAAAACTAAAATTTTACCAGTGGTTGGACCCAGTCATGATTTCTTAAAACAAGCAGAAAAAGATTGAGGAAATCTGGGAAAACTATCAAATGAATAGAACAGAAAGCCATTTGTGGTTAATATATCACAACGTGTCTCTAGTTTGAATCATTACAATATCACACACTTCAAAAAAGCAGAAATGTTACCGTATATATATTATTTTGAATAATCTAGACCTGATATAAATGCTCTCCTGCTCCACCCATCATTTGCAGATCTGTTCTAAATGTTTTCCTCCATGTTTGGGTTCTTGCTAAAATCGGATAAATCTTTATTGTTAGGAAAATGTTCGGTAAATTACTGGAATGAAAATATAATTATGTTGATTCATCAAAAAAACCAAAAAACAACAACAAACTAATTAATGAATAGATCCTGAGACTTTATTCTTTTGTAGGACGTGCAGTATTGACAAAGTTTGCTGTAAAACTGCTCTGACTCAAATTATTTGTTCAGCTTTATTTTATTCAATAATACTTTTCCGCAGCAAATAGAAAAGGGTGGCGATGGACTACATGTCAGACCCATACCATATTTGGAAATGTCACTATCATGAAATTAAATTAAGGGGGCTATATTTCCGATATATTCTGTATATTTCAGCAGTTTGTCCCTTTTGTATCTTTATTTCTTACCGCTATTAAAACCTAATAATATCAATAATATGAATTCAGCAGTGGTATCTCACATTTTTATAGAACATCTTGATCCATTATCTTCATTAAATTGACGTCACAATAGGCTTAAAATAAATAAAGGAATAAATAAGAAGGAAAAAAAATTGTGGCTGTGATGTTGTTATGCCATATGCCATCATATCTTTTGAAATTTGGGAACCAGTGTCCATATTTCATCTTGACATGATGATGTGGAATCAGCTGTGGAATCTCTGCAATAACCCCCCTTTCAGCCAAGGCCTCCACAGGCAAGTCACATGGCAAGTCACAGAGGTGTGACCAACCACCACCCCCCTCTATGTGAGGACAGACAAAACCACAGAGCACACAGGATTCTTTCTCTTTTGCTTCTGAGAAAGGTTTGCGGGTCTGGCATAATTAGGTACAGAACAAACAATATGTCTTTTGATGATGCTAAGCATATCATATGTTTACTGCTGAGTAGAGAAAATGCTAATTGACGCTAAAGAATGGACTGCATGCTACGCTATGCTACAGGAATATGTGTTGAGCTGTTGCTAAAGCTTGGACAAGCTTTATTTCACTAAG